CTATAAGCATAACCGAGACAATTCTCTATACTATTTTTACAATGTATTGTCGAAGGCTTTCATGGCCGGAATCACTCAGTTCTTGTGGGTTGTTTCGGGCTATATGGCCATGTTCTAGAGGCATTTCCCTCCTGGCCATATAGCCCCGAAAAAAACCCACAAGAACTATTTTTACAATCATTTGTATTTGTTCTTTTTCAAGAAATTTAATAAAACTTCTCCACTGCACTGTCTTCTAAAAAGAAAATCGAGACATCCCCATGCTGATTGCGTTGATTCTTTGTCTCCACTGGCCCTTGCATTTTATTTTCCCTCACCAGCCCCTTAGTGCTCTCTTCCAATTCTTCCTCCCCAGACCTCTCTGTGGACCCTTCCACACAGCCCTATATCCCAGAACATCAAGGCAGGAAATTCCACATTATCTGAGTGTGGACTCTGATAACCCAGTTCAAAGCAGATATTGTGGGATTTTCTGCCTTGGTATTCTGGGATATAGAGCTGTGTGAAAGAACCCTAGTTCAGTTCAGTTCAGTTTCTACGTTTGGATGATTATACACAGTTGCATTTTATTCCGCAGTTTTGCATTAGCTTTTTAAAAGAAGTTTAATAACCAAAGGAAGCAGTGATTGTCAGGAAGTAAAACCATATTTGCATAGAAATTGCACGGATGTAGAAAATAGACAAATATGTACTTCCTCAACAAACTAATTGAGAATCATAGCTTTAAAAATAGCAACCTAGCTTTCAAGAGGCAGGATGGCACAGTGGTTTGAGTGTTGGGCTACCATTCTGGAGACTATAGATTTCAGACATAGGGCAACCCTAAGATTAACCTAACATAGGGGTTTCTCGGCAAAGTTAGTTCAAAAGAGGTTTGCATTTGTGTTCTCTGAGAAAATGGGCCCTTCCACACAACCCTATTTCCCAGAATATCGGGGCAGAAAATCCCACAATATCTGCTTTGAATTGGGTTATCAGAATCCACTCTCAGATAATGTGGGAATTTCTGCCTTGATATTCTGAGATATAGGGCTGTGTGGAAGGGACCTAAGAGAAAGTGGCTTGCCCAAGGTCACCCAGTAGGTTTCCATAGCTGAGAAGGGATTTGAACCTTCTCAGCTGGTTTCCAGACTAAATTACACTACACAGTCTTAACCCTATTAATAGGGAATTACATTCCCAGTCAAATACTGCTCATGCCTCTCCACATCATATGAGAATCACCAGCCCTCTTTACGTAGTCCAGTATCTGGAGAACCACATGATTCCATGCACTCCCATTTTTAAATAGCAAATGGAAAGTATTTTTGATTTTTTTTAATGTGCAAAAGATTTTGATCCAGAAAAAAATTTAAAAACAAAAATTGCTTTTAAGCCAGGCCTTTTCTTACAAGGTTTGAGAGACAATCAGATTTAGGACAAGAGAAAATATTTCAGTACAGTCAATCCCCAAGTTACAAATTACTCATAGTTAAGAACAGGGTGAGACAACAGGGACTGAGAGAAATCTAACCCTAGGAAGGGAAAATCACTCCTGAAAGAGTTATCATGGGGAAAAGATGTCTTGGTTGAAGCTTTATCACCAATCCTTGTTTCTAGAACAAGCTGATTTTTTTTTCAAAATCCAGTTATTCACTACTGACTGAGAGGTCATAAGTTCGAAGCCAGCCCAGGTCGGAGTGAGCTCCCGACCATTAATAGTCTAGCTTGCTGTTGACCTATGCAGCCCAAAAGACAGTTGTATCTGTCAAGTAGGAAATTTAGGTACCACTTTATGCGGGGAGGCTAATTTAACTAATTTACGACACAATAAAACCTTCCAGCAGTGTGCGTAAGAATGAGGAAATACTCCATCAAGTACTCGGTGTCACAAGTGGACGGTGAAGAGTAGTTCCCCCTGTGGCCGGAATCGAGCATACCCTCCTGAAGCCGGAAATGCTGGAATGTTAAATTGCCTCTGTGTCTGTTTATATATGCTGTATGTCTACATGGCATTGAATATTTGCCATGTATATATGTGCATTGTAATCCAACTTGAGTTTCCTGTGGGGTGAGAAGGGCGGAATATAAATACTGTAAATAAATAAATAAATAAATAATCCTTGTTTCCACAAGAAGCCACATTTTTCAAAATCCAATGATCACAGGGACAGAAAATGAGGGGAAATCTTCTGAACAGGGATATAGACAGCAAGACAAACATCGCAGGGCTGTTAACCCCTTACTGTGCTATCCAAAACTTTTTAAAAATTGGCTAGAGTTATACTTAAAATGTGTCTGTTCTGATTTAATACAAATTCAACTTAATTAAAAAAAAACACTAGAGAACTTGTCCGTAACCCAGGGACTGCCTATACATACATGCACGCTTATGTGTTTGTTTTTAACTCACTATTCCAATAAAAAGCAAACATACACATACATACGATTGATTAGTTAAATACATGTAATGGGTTGGATCCTTGAATGCAAACTCTTCACAATTTTGGCAAATAAAATAATGAGGAGAAAAAGATAAATTATGATATGGAGGAGTGGATTCGATATGTCTCTCAGTGGCTTTGCATGGGCAAACCTTGGCCCTCCAGGTGTTTTGGACTTCAACTCCCACAATTCCTAACAGCCTACCGGCTGTTCATCCCTCAGCCGCTTAAACTTAAGGCGAAAAGGAAGGGGCCTGAGGCTGTTAGGAATTGTGGGAGTTGAAGTCCAAAACACTTGGAGGGCCAAGGTTTGCCCATGCCTGGACTAGAGGTTTCTGCAAACCATATTTTTTTAAAAGCATTAAAAAAAACATATCTGGGTTAATGGAAAGTGTACTTACCTCCCAGAAGGAAGGCTGTCCCTAAAAGCTTCATAGTGATGGAATAGGAAGCAGTGTGTTTTAAAACCCAAAACGTTCCAGCACCAGTTTTCAAAGGCTGAGATTCTGGATCTCTTAAAATAAGAGCCTAATTCTGAAATGTGGATATGAAGGTGGTCCACAAGAGTGTCTTTGCGGAGGTCCCCAGTTGAGGCAAAAGTCTAGGCAGATATCTCAAATTTCGAGGAAGACTAGGTGAGGTTGATTCCTTTGCAAACAGTGATGGAAGATTTGCATTTCAAAGCAGAGACTGATTTGCTTTCATGAAACTGCTGCTCCTGCCTTGTACACATCCTGTCCATTTGGGGCATCCTTTATTGGAGGAGTTGCAAATATTTCAGATAAAGGATGCTCAACCTGTATTTTATGGTTACCTTTAAACACCTACATTGGAGAGTGGGTGATAATAAACATATTAGTATAATTTTACTATTGATTCTGAGTGTTGTGGTCCAAAAACCAAGATTTTTCAAACTGTGTACTAAACTCCAAGCACAATCCTATGCACACCTATTGGAAGGCCCCAATCAATTCAGTATGACGAAGGGTGCATTTACACTGTAGAATAAATGCAGTGTGACATTTATTTATTTATTTATTTATTTATTTATTTATTTATATCCCGCCCTTCTCAACCACTGAGAAGGGACTCAGAGTGGCTTACAAATGGCAACCATTAGATGCCAACAACGACATCAATCACATTACAAACAAACTGGCATTAAGATATTAAAACATTAAAATAAAAATCAGAGCCAGGCCCAAATCACAAATCCAAATCAGAGTCCAGAGTTCCAGTCCGAGGTTTATTCGTGGTTAGTTCATAAGTCAATTGCAGTTTAACTGCTATGGCTCAACGCTATGGAATAACATGAGCTGTAGTTTGCTGAGATACCCAGCACTGTTTTGCAGGGAAGGCTGTAAAACCATAACTCCCATAACTCAATAGCATTGAGCTAAGGACGTTAAAGTGCTATCAAACTCCATTCATTCTACAGTATAGATCAGGCATGGACAATCTTCAGCCCTCCAGGTGTTTTGGACTTCAGCTTTCACAATTCCTAACAACCCATGTTAGTTTGACTGGTATAGATGCAACCTTATTCTCAAGCTACATATAGGAGTTCTGCTTCAAAGGTCTGAAGCTACTGGAGTACAGGTGACTTTTTTATTTAGTCAATACATTTGAAAATTCTTAACTCTGTGGTCATATGTGCAGTGCACTCACCTCATGTAATCAAATTATGTATGAATACATAATTGTTGGCTCATTAAATGGCTTTCTTTTGTTTCTAGCCACTGCTATTTTATATATTATTTTGTGGACTGCCTCTTTGCATTGCAGCTGCTTTATTTATTACTTATGAATCCACCTGGTTTGATATTGAACAATTTCCTATAGATGCAAGAAACTGAGTATTAAGTGACAGCATCCATTAACTTTGTTTACCAGTACAAATGGATCAACTGCAGCAATATTCTTAAGAAAGTAGAGGACTGAACATTGGTCCCAAACTTGGAATTTGGTTTCAGGGGTTTTGCAGCAGGTGGAGGAGGAGTAGCTTTTAAACTTTGTCCAGTTTTGAAAGAATTATTTATTCACATATTTATTTGAATCATTTTGTATTGCCTTATTAATATACAAATTGACTATCCCCTATCCAAACTTCATGCGATCAGAAGTGTTTTGGATATCTTGGAAATGGGATCCAAGTCGAAACACAAAATCAATTCATGCTTCATATACATTTGATACATAACACCTGAAGGGAATTTTATACACAATATTTTGTGTGATTTTGTGCATGAAGTTTGTACACACCAAACGTCAGAAAGCAGAAGTGTCACGATCTCAACCACCTAAGAGGACAATTTTGGATTCTGGAGTATAGTGGAATTCCAGAAAAGGGATACCAACCTGGGTTGCTGTGAGTTTTTTTGGGCTGTATGATTATTTTCCAGCAGCATTCCCTCCTGATGTTTTGCCTGCATCTGTGGCTGGCACCTTCAGAGGTGAGGATGCTTGCCATAGGTGCAATCTAAACACCAGGAGAGAATGCTGCTGGAACATGGCCATACAGCCCGAAAAACTCACAGCAGCCCAGTGATTCCAGCCATGAAAGCTTTCAACAATACATTGATACTCAACCTGTTTTTTATTGCAGTATCACTTTGGGGGCCCAACAGGAAACAACAATAAACATAATAAATAACATAATTCATAGTATAGTCAACTTTCATATTTGTTTTTCTTTATATCAAAATTCAGAATGTTATTTGAGAACTACAAAACAGTCACATAGGCTGCAGTTATTTCCTGAAGTTATTTGGCAGCCTCAGCAAGCCGGTTGAATGTTTGAGACAAGGCAGTGACAGTGTCTAAGATCCGGCGCCGGTCCTTTTCAGCTAAGCGTGTGCCACAGCGCTGGAGGAATTTGTCTGGGTGCCAGAGAGCCTGCTGGCGTCGGAGGAAGCGCCGGTAAGCTCCCTGGTCAGCAGGGTCCACTCCATGAAGCGCCATGGTGGCCATCTGCTCAGGTGTCCCAGATGGGCACGGCCAGGGAATGTCTACATAACGCAAAGACTGAGAACTGGAACTGGAACTGGAACTGGAGAAGACCTGGCTGCAGCCTTCCTCATAGCGCCGCCTCTTGGCCTCCTTCAACTCCTCCTCCTTGGCCTGGGCACGTTTTTCGAACAGCAGGCGCTCTTCTTCCAGGAGGCGCCATGATTTCGCAGAAGTTTTTGGGGTTTCCTTTTTAGGCCTTCGATAATGTTGTTCCTCTTCTTTCCTGCGTTTTTTCTTGTATTCCTGAAATATGCGGTTGGCCCAGTCTTCAAAGGTTTCTGGATCTGGACTTTGGGTGCTGAATTCATCTGGGAAGGGTCAACAAAAAAAGCAGAAATGTCAAAAGGCATGTGGGAGAGATGGAAAAGACTAGATGTCCCAATGCAAGAAGAATGGCTGGGGAAGATATGTGCATTACCCAAGAAGGACAAATTGACAATGTTGATCAAGGAGAAATCTTTAACTAAATTTAAGGGATCCTATTATTATATTATTATTTTACTGACTCAAAAACACAGTATACCACAGCAAACAAGATATATATGCTTGATTTTTGTATTTTTATTATTTTAGTATTATATTATTATTATTATTATTATTATTATTATTATTATTATTTTACAGTAAAGTTGGGGACAATCTTCAACTACTGGTTTTCTGATGTAGAAAAGTGATAGTAAAAGTAGAAGGGAAGAAATAAAGTGACACTTGAAAGCAGTAACGAGTGGGAAGCTAAAATCAGTAGGCAATGAACGTGAGGCTTGTCAATGAATTTTAGCAGATATCTGTTTAGACTGTCTACGTTGTACAGAATATTGTAAATAAAGGCATACTAGCTTTTGTAGTTTAGTTTTATATATACTGAAAAGTCATTCTTTTTTCTGGCTTTTATGGCAGTAGTTTTTCCTTCATTTCTCTTTGTTTCTCTTTGTATTTCATATCTCAAAATGCAGAGAGAAAGGTTGAGTCCAAGAACAGCAACTTGCCATCTGTTCACTACACAGAGATTGGAAAATGACCTTAAGACTTCCTGGTTCACAATCTGCTTGCTCTCTCTCCCTGCCATTGCATTATTCTAACTTGCAATAAATCAATGTCATCTTTTTTCTCCTTTTTCCTGTTAGCGTCATTGATTGCTCTGGAATGACAATGATAAAAAAAATCCCCAACATGACTCTGCAGGTGAATTTTGTCTTAGCTCTAAATAGATCACTTTATCCAAGCTTGTGAAATAATATTTCCCCAGATTTCTGAAGCAAAAGGTGTGACTGGGTCAACAGTTTGAACTTTAAGGTTGATTCTGGGTCAACAGGGAAAGGCCCCTGGCATAGGCTGCAACTTAGAATCAGAGAGTTAGAAGAAATCATAAGGAGCATCTCACTCTGCCATGCAAGGACACACCACAAAGCCCTCCTAACAGATGGCCATCTACCCTTTGCTTAAAAACCTTCAGAGAAGGAGATTTCACCATGCTCCTAGGTAGCATATTCCACTGTCAAATGGCTGTTACCATCAGGAAGTTCTTCCTAATATTTAGGTGGAATCTTCTTTCCCACAATTTGTATCCATTGATCTGGTTCTAGTTTCCAGAACAGCAGGATTAAAGTTAACCCACCCCCTCAGTATTTAAACAGCTATCATGTTCCCTCTTGGCCTTCTCTGCTCCAACTTACTTACAGTATTTATATTCCTCCCATCTCACCCCAAAAGGGAATCAGGGCGGATCACAAAACATACCTACGTGGCAAACATTCAATGCTGTTTTATACACAACTAGACAGACAATTATACACAGATAAGAGGTATATATATATTGGCTTTCTCCCTCTTTCAGCATCTTGGAAGGTGTTGTGCTCGGTTCCGGCTGGGACGGGGTGTGTGTGTGTGTATGTGTTGTCGCTCTATCTCCCTACCAAAGAGTCAATTCATAACTTCCTCCTCTTGGATTGAATTGCTGACATTCCTTCTGGGTGCTTCAGAATACCTCCCGTTTTTTAATGAGTGGTATCTATAGATCTAATCACATTTTTGCTTTCGAAGCGCTAGGTAAGTGGAATCTGGGCTAAAGGCCAGGAGCTTACCCTGACCCAGTGTTGGACTGGCAGCCTTTTGACTGACAAAATTGACTATGGCTGGCATTTAACCAGCTGTGCTAAAGCCAGCCAGCTCTTTAGGTCGCTCCTCACAGGGCTTGGCTTCTAACCCTCTGATCATTTTGGTGGCCCTTCTCTGAATACTTTCCAGCTTGCCGATATCCCTCTTGAATTGTGGTGCCCAGAACTGGACACAGTGTTATTGCAGGTGAGGTCTGACCAAAGCAGAATATGGTGAGACAAAGGTCACTTCCACACAGCTGTATAAAATCCACATTGAACTGGATAATATGGCAGTGGGGACTCAGATAACCCAGTTCAAAACAGATATTGTGGATTATCTGCCTTGATATTCTGGGTAATATGGCTGTGTGGAAGGGTCCTAAGACTTCCCTTGATATCAACACTATGCTTCTACTGATGCATTCCAGAATTGCATTGGCCACTGTGTCCAGTTCTGGGCATTACAATTCAAGAGGGATATTGGCAAACTGGAAATATTCAGAGAAGGGTGACCAAGCTGATCAAACATTTGGAAGCTAAGCCTTATGAGGAGCAGCTGAGGAAGCTGGATAGATTTAACCTTTAGGCTTCAAGGAGACATTATAGCCACTGGGACTGTGGCGCAGCTGGCTGGGAGTCAGCTGCATTAAGATCACTACTGACTGAAAGGTCATGAGTTCAAAGCCAGCCCAAGTTGGAGTGAGCTTCCAACCTTTGTGTAGCTTGCTGTCGACCTTTGCAGCCTGAAAGACAGTTGCATCTGTCAAGTAGGAAATTTAGGTACTGCTTATGCGGGAAGGCTAATTTAACTAATTTACAATGTCATAAAAAAAAATCTCCAGCAAGCCAGCAAAAAAAAGAATGAGGAAGTACTCCATCAGTGTCACAAATGGACGGTGAAGCGACAGCTCCCCTGGTGGCCAGAATACCGTCTATATATGTTGTGTGTGTATGGCATTGAATGTTTGCCATGTATATGTACATTGTAATCCGCCCTCAGTCCTCAGCGGGGTGAGAAGGGCGGAATATAAATACTATAAATAAATAAATGTTTAACTATTTGAATGAATGTCTCACTGAGGTGGGGGTGACTTTGGTTTCTGCTGCTCCATACACTGGGAGTCAAAGCAGTGGATTCAAACCACAGGAAAAGAGATTCCAGCTAAACATTAGAAAGTTCTTACTGTTTAACAGTGAAATATGCTGCCCAGAAGTGTGATGGAGTCTCCTTCTCTGGAGGTTTTTAAGCAGAGAGGCTGGACAGCCATCTGTCAAGAGGGCTTTGGTTGTGTGTTCCTGCATGGCAGAATGGAGGTGGACTGGGCATCCCTTATGGTCTCTTCCAACTCTATGATTCTATGATTGCATGTAGCATTCTTCTATGTGTTAGATTAATGTTACAAATATGGAAAGGAAGCCAGTAAAACCAAAGAAAATAAAGTACAACCCGTCTTGAATCTCACACTTTAACCACTACTAGCGGTGTAAGAAACTCTAACCCTAGAAAAATGCCAAACTCACCTTCATCCTGCCAGAAAGTCTCCTGATATTCATCTTCCCATTCACCAAGAAGCTTGGACTGCCACTCCCTCTCGGCATCCCGTTTAGTGTCTTCTTCCTCAAAGTCTTTCTGGGGACACTGTGGACAGTGAAAGGTATCCGGAATTCAAGTCAGTGTTTGAAACTAACTAATCTGATAAACCAATCTCTCCCTGGTGAGACATGACTGTTACCCATTTCTCCTCCGTTTCTCCCAGGAGGTCCCCAGGTGTCTTTCCATCTCTGTTCTGGATGCTCATGGCGGAAGGGCAACGTTTTCGCAAAGGTACAAACAGGTCTTCATAAACTGTGGCAGAGAAGTGGAAAAACAACGAAGAACAATCAATGCTGTTAGTGACTACTTCACCAAATAAGGGAGACAACTTAGTTTCCTAGGCCCCTTCTACACTATCATATAAAATCCAGATTGTCTGCTTAGAACTGGATTATATGGCAGTGTAGACTCGAATAATCCAGTTTGATAATCTGGATATATAGCAGTTTAGAAGGGGCTCAAGATCCTCTAATAGTGCAGACCTTGTACTTCAATTAGAAAAGTCAGGTTCTCTCTGTTGGGACTCAGTCTGTGATTGAACCGGAGGCTGTGCTTGAACCTGTGAAAATGTGTTTCAGTCTCCTGATGTTTCTGTGTCTGATGGGAGGAATGAGGAGAGAAGTCAGTCCCCTGTTGCTTCTGATGTGGGGGATGCTAGGGCTGACTCTGAGGTGCAAGTTGGAAACACTTTGGTCAATGAGTTTCATGCAGACACTGACAGAGAGGGGCATGCGGGGCAAAGGGCAGATTCTCATGAGAGTGCTTCTGTCAGGCCTTGAGAAAAAGGTTTACACCCTTCGTCTGTGAGCTCTCCAGATTCTAGTTTGGAAAACAGTATGACACCTGCTCGAGTTAATGAAGAGTCAGATAAGCAGAGTCGGCGGCTGGAGATTAGCCAGAATTGACAAGAGGCCCAATGATTACGTAGGTCTGAAAGAATTCGTCAATTAAAGTCTAAGTCTGGGGGAAAGCGAAACCAGTTTTTGGGATTTAAGGTTTGTCTGTAGAAAATCTTGTCAGATCAGGCATTGTTTGGAAACTAAGTGTAAGCCTCATGGAATCCCTGTTCAAGTGGACTTGTTTTCATGGGTTTTTCTAGCTTCTTAGGGTGACTAGCAGCATCTGGTTTGTTCTTGTTTCTTGTTTGATTCCTGTCTGGATATCATTTCCTTGGATTATATTCTGCTTTTTGGACATTGCTTTTGATTGCTACATTTTGGACACTGTTTTATCTGGATGCCTTTGAATGCCTTATTGCTTTTTGGAATCTTATCTATCGTTACAAGCAGTTATGTCTAATGTGGGTTTTTTTTGTTTTTTTGTTTTTGTTTTGCTAAGCTTTAATAAAAAGGATTGCTCCTTCATTCAACGTGTGTTGTGTTTTAGGAAGCGGGGCTATTTCCTGTTCTGGAGTGCATCACTCACTCTGATCTACAGCTCACTCTTCGGCATTGTAGTAGTAACAATGAAACACAAGAGGGAACCCTGTCAAAGTTTACACTGCTGGTCAAACTAACGTTTAACGTGGTTTGGAATACTGTTAATTCTGTAACCAGTTGCACACTTGAAAGATCATCAATGGTCTTATAAACCCAATCTAATTTATTATAGATATTTTAATTTCTCCAACTGGGGAAAAAGTTTGACATTTTCTTGTAATGATATATAACTGTTCATAAATAAATGAGCACTTCATTGGTCAGAAACAGCTTGAAACAGCTACCTCACTATACTTTAGGGTTGGACCTGCCCCAATTCATAACACAACCCAACCAATATAAATATTTTTCTTGGTGTCTTCGTTTTTAGGCCTGTTCTTGGGGTTATTTGGGGTTGATGATTCAGAAAATTCCATTGAAAGGCCTTCATCAGCTCTGCTTTCTTAGATATGGTTATCATGGTTTTCTGTGGGTGAGCAGATGGTGACTGGTAGATGCCATATGTTCTGTATCTCAAAAGAGTTGATAGGGGAAAACTAGTGCAAATTTTGGAATTAGCAGGTCAGATATATCCAGAAACAGGCCAAATATTTGAGGCACCAAAATGTGTGCTGGCCAGTGCACTCTTTGTCTTACCTGTGCCTCCTTTGCGTGCAACTTGCCGGGCAGCCACATGTAGAGCCGTATCTCCATTCTGATCCAAAGCATTGGCATCTGCTCCATACTTCAGCAAGAGGATGGCAGATTTGATGTCTTGTCTGGCACAGGATCTATGGAGTGGGGTTCGGTTCTTGTGTCCTGAAGTTTCAGCCAGATCCAAGGTTTCCCCATGATGCCGCAGGAGCCTGCGCAGCTTGTGACGGCGGCCAGAATCTACATAGCGCCACAGACGACGCTGAGACTTTGATGCAATGGGAGTGGACATGCTGTTGAAAGGGTTGAGTATTGACAGATGTGGGGAAACAAGATACAGGATCAGTGTCAATTCCTTCTCCAAAATCTTGGTAATTTTCTACCATGCTATCATTGCTATGTCAATACTTCTTTTAGCTGTGTGCCTTAAAATGTCTCCAAATTATGGTGACAACTATGACAAGATTTTTTGGAGCTAAGAGTATGGGACTTGTCCAGAGCCATCCAGTGTGTTTACATGAGTTGCATCCACATTGTAGAATGAATGCAGCTTGACAACACTGTAATTGCCATGGCTCAATGCTATGGAATCCCAGGAACTGTCGTTTTACATAGTCTTTAGCCTTCCCTGCCAAAGACTGCTGGAGTCTCATTAAACTACAAATCCCATCATTCCACAGCTTTGAGCCATGTCAGTGAAAATGCATTAATTCTATAGTACAGATACACCAATGGTTGAGCAAGGATTCAATCTGTTGTCTCCGGAGTCATGCCCCAATACTACACTAGGCTGGCTCCAATACACTTTTCTTTCTCCATCTCTGAAATACCTCTCCTCTTTTTGCTTTACTTTTATCTATGCTTCCAACCCAATTACGAAATGGACAATAACGAGTCCCATTACAAAAGTCTACTATTCTACTCCCATCTGTCTTCTTTGAAAACAGTAACTGAGTGTGGTAGATGTCTGGAATACTAACACAGCCACTCAACTCCTTGGTGAAGAACATCAGCAGCTTATTATTGAAAACTACATAGCAAGTGTTGTTCAATTTTCCATTTTGAGTACCCATTAAAAGAGGAAAGTGGAAAGTGGGATGATTATGATGATAATAATAATAATGGGGTGCTGTGTGGTTTCTGGGCTGTATGGCTATTGTCTAACAGCATTTTCTTGCCTGCATCTGCGGCTGGCATCTTCAGAGGATCAATAATTATAATTGCCAGGATGGGGGCTTGGGGCATCTCTGGTATTTATTTGTTATATGAACATATGTGACTCTTTTTGCTTCTAGCCTACAATACTTGATATGTGCTCTCCCATCCAAATGCTAACCAGGGCTGACTCTGCTTAGCTTCTAAGGCCAGATGAGAATTTGTGCCTTTAGGGAAGGCACCCTCAAATTCTGGCCCTCAGTTGTTTGGGCCCCCAACGCTCTGAAGCCCTTGCCAGCTTGTTCAATGGTCAGGAATTCTAGGACTTGGAGGCCCAAACAGCTGGAGGGCTACAGTTTGAGGAGGCAAGCTTTCGGGCATTCAGGCCACCTAAAAATATGTTTTTGATCTCAAGAGATGTGTGACAATAGTTTAAATATTTATGATATGACACCACACACGGAGTGCTTCAGCAGCACTTCCCAGGCTGGGAAAAGTTAAAGTTTTGGAGGTTTCAGCTCCCAAAACACACTATGTAACCAAACTTGTAAAAAAAACCTGTTCCTGTTTTGAAAGTGTTATGTCCTGTATAATTATACAGTACTTACTTTGGAAGTAGTTATTATACTCCAGAAACTTCATTTTTGTGGCTGCCACACACTTGGGCCCCTTCCACACAGCTGAATAAAACCCCACATTATCTGTTTTGAGCTGGAATATATGGCAGTGTGGACTAAGATATCCCAGTTCAAAATAGATATTGTGGAATTGTCTGCCTTGATATTCTGGGTTATATGGCTGTGTGGGAGGGCCCTAGGTTGAATGGGTTGAGTACAAGATATTCATTGAAAAGCTATAGCAAATGTGCAGCAGGATGTCCTGCAAAAAGAAACGTTTTGCAATATAGTAAACTTTCCCCATGTTTTCATGATAGAACCAACGAGGTAATGACATTTATAACCCTGGAACAAAAATAGAGTTACACAGTGACATAACTCTCCTCCATCAGCAACAGAAACACTGGTCTAAGATGCCCTCATTCTCATTTAGAGCGGCCAGGAATACCTGGCCGCTCTAAATGAGTTCAAGTCCCCAGGGCCAGATCAACTACACCCAAGAGTATTGAAGGAACTAGCGGAAGTCATTTCGGAACCATTGGCAATCATCTTTGAGAGTTCTTGGAGAACGGGAGAAGTTCCAGCAGATTGGAGGAGGGCCAATGTGGTCCCAATCTTCAAGAAGGGAAAAAAGGATGACCCAAACAACTACCATCCAGTCAGCCTCACGTCGATACCAGGCAAGATTCTGGAAAAGATTGTTAAGGAAGTGGTCTGCAAACACTTAGAAACAAATGCGGTCATCGCTAATAGTCAACATGGATTTATCAAAAACAAGTCACGCCAGACTAATCTGATCTCTTTTTTCGATAGAGTTACAAGCTGGGTAGATGCGGGGAATGCCGTGGATGTAGCGTACCTGGATTTCAGTAAGGCCTTCGACAAGGTCCCCCATGACCTTCTGGCAAGGAAAACTAGTCCAATGTGGGCTAGGCAAAACTACGGTGAGGTGGATCTGCAATTGGTTAAATGGACGAACCCAGAGGGTGCTCACCAATGCTTCCTCTTCATCCTGGAAAGAAGTGACGAGTGGAGTGCCGCAGGGTTCCGTCCTGGGCCCGGTCCTGTTCAACATCTTTATTAATGACTTAGATGAAGGGCTAGAAGGCAGGATCATCAAGTTTGCAGACGACACCAAATTGGGAGGGATAGCCAATAGTCCAGAGGACAGGAGCAGGATTCAAAACGATCTTGACAGATTAGAGAGATGGGCCAAAACTAACAAAATGAAGTTCAACAGTGACAAATGCAAGATACTCCACTTTGGCAGGAAAAACGAAATGCAAAGATACAGAATGGGGGACGTCTGGCTCGAGAGCAGTACGTGTGAAAAAGATCTTGGAGTCCTCGTGGACAAGTTAAACATGAGCCAACAATGTGATGTGGCGGCAAAAAAAGCCAATGGGATTTTGGCCTGCATCAATAGGAGCATAGGGTCTAGATCTAAGGAAGTAATGCTACCCCTCTATTCTGCTTTGGTTAGACCACACTGGAATATTGTGTCCAATTCTGGGCACCACAATCAAGAGAGATATTGACAAGCTGGAATGTGTCCAGAGGAGGGCGACTAAAATGATCAAGGGTCTGGAGAACAAGCCCTATGAGGAGCGGCTTAAGGGGCTGGGCATGTTTAGCCTGAAGAAGAAAGGCTGAGAGAGATATGATAGCCATGTATAAATATGTGAGAGGAAGCCACAGGGAGGAGGGAGCAAGCTTGTTTTCTGCTTCCTTGGAGACTAGGACGCGAACAATGGCTTCAAACTACAAGGAAGGAGATTCCATCTGAACATGAGGAAGAACTTCCTGACTGTGAGAGCCCGTTCAGCAGTGGAACTCTCTGCCCCGGAGTGTGGTGGAGGCTCCTTCTTTGGAAGCTTTTAAACAGAGGCTGGATGGCCATCTGTCAGGGGTGATTTGAATGCAATATTCCTGCTTCTTGGCAGGGGGTTGGACTGGATGACCCATGAGGTCTCTTCCAACTCTTTGATTCTATGATTCTACTTTGCATTAAACCCCTGTAAGCCCCTAAATCTACCACCCGGAGGATCATATCCCATCAGCCCCTTTCCCTCCTGTCTCATTTTCTGGCTTAAAACATCCCTGGCCTAATTTACACACTCCTCTTTCTTCCCCCATCATTTTTACCTTTAAAAGCGCTCCCACTCCAAGGTTTTTCCCTTTCAAAAGCAGCTCACTTCCGCCTTGATAAGTGGGTGTTCTAAAGGGAACGGAAACCTACAACTAAGGGCGGATGTGGCTTCAAGTCGTCGTTCAAAGTGGACCTCTATTTCTTTTTGCCCTTACTTGGTGCTCTCGGTTTTGGAGCCCGAGTAGGACACTGAACATGGAGAAAAAAGGGCCTACTAAGCAGTATAGCTTATTATTTATTTATTTACTTACTTACTTTCTCAGCGCGTATGCGACTCAAGGGAGTTAACAGGGTAAAATTCAATGCTTACAATATCATAAATATAATTAAAAACGTAACATATAATAAAAACTGATCACAAGGGTCCCAACTCTATACCCAAGGGGTATGCCTCATTGTTTGTCTTTATTTGCTTTTCATTATTGTATTTAAATATATAAATACAAAGTCAGGAAATTATGGTATGCAATAATAAATGGTATAGTATGAATCTTATTTTTACACAACTACATTTATCTGGCATGTACCAATTTCCGTGGGCCCTTCCACACAGCCATGTATCCCAGAATATCAAGGCAGATAATTCACAATATCTGCTTTAAACTGGGTTATCTGAGTCCACACTGACATATAATCCAGTTTAATGTGGATTTTATACATCTGTGTGGAAAGGGCCCATGAGCGCTGAGGTTGTTGTTATCCAAATTGAAATAAGCTGTGTTTCATTCTGATGGCGGGGATAAACACTGATTTAGTACTCCATCTTCAGAGGGGCAAAATCTTCAACTACCTAGTGAGTCAAAAACCAAAAATTTGCCCACTCTCAAGAAACTCCACCCCAGCTCTGTCTTCCCACCCAATATTACCAAGAATACATCTACACTGTAGAGTTAATGCAATTTGATCCCACTTTAACTGCCATGGCTCAATGCTATGAAATCCTGGAAGATATAGTTTGATAAGGCATAAAAACTCTTTGGCAAAGAAGACAAAATATAAAATTCCCAAGATTCCATAGCATTGAGTAATGGCTATTAAAGTGGTGCTAAACTGCATTAATTCTACAGTAGATGTACCTTGGGTTGGTTACCATGGCTGAGTGGGCATTTGAACCATGGAATCATATATTGTCGAAGGCTTTCATGGCTGGAATCACTAGGTTCTTGTGGGTTTTTTCGGGCTATAGGGCCATGTTCTAGAGGCATTTCTCCTGACGTTTCGCCTGCATCTATGGCAAGCATCCTCAGAGGTAGTGAGGTCTGTTGGAATTAGGACAATGGGTTTATATATCTGTGGAATGGCTGGGGTGGGGCAAAGAGCTCTTCCCTTCTGGAGCTAGGTGTGAATGTTTCAACTGACTACCTTCATTAGCATTTGAAGGCCTGGCTGAGCCTGGGAAAATCTTTTGTTGAGAGGTGTTAAGATGTGCCTGGTTGTTTCCTCTCTGCTGTTTTGCTGTTGTAATTTTTAGAGTTTTTTAATACTGGTAGCCAGATTTTGTTCATTTTCATGGTCTCTTCCTTTCTGTTGAAATTGTCCACATGCTTGTGGATTTCAATGGCTTCTCATGGAATCATAATCCAACACTTAAACCATCACTTCATGTTGACACTCAATGAAAATAATGCCAATTGAAGCCAGTGAGAATTAACAGTGAAGACCTGAATTGTGTTACTTGCCATCAAGTATCTGGGAAGTGGGGTGAGCTTTGTCTTATGGTGGACCTTATTAATGAGAAACCTTCAAATCACCTTACCAACAGTCCTGCTCAGGTGTTGCAAGGCTTTATATTCATGGATAGAGTCTATCTGACTGGAATGTGGTCTTTTTTTTTTTACTACCACCATATACTTACAAGTATTATTGTGTTTTCTTTGGAGTCATGCCTTTTCATATGACTGAAGTATGAGAGTCTCATCTTAAGTCACCTTTGTTCCCAGAGAGAATTCAGGTTTGATTTATGTTTGTGCCTTCAAGTTTCATTCTATCCAATGAAAAAGAGTCGACACCTCCTAGTATTCATTGGTGGTCTCTCATCCAAATACCAATCAGGACCAACCTTCTTTAGCTTCCAAGATCTGCTATGTTTTGGGTATTCTATCCTAATAAAGCTCAAATGGTGGAAGAGTGAGCTTGGTTTATATCAGTGGTTCTCAAGTTGTAGGTCCCCAGATGTTTTGGCCTTCACCTCCCAGAAACGCTACAACTGGTAAACTAGCTGGGATTTCTGGGAGTTATAGGCCAAAACACCTTGAGATCCACAGGTTAAGAACAACTGGTTTATATAGTTTAGTAGTGATGTATTCCTGGGAATATTTCTCTTCCAACTCTATGCTTCCTCTAAGGAAATTTTAAGATGCCGTTTTTTATTTGGGAAGCATAATTCTATGCAACCATTAATAGGCAACTGTCATCTTTCAGCATACTTTATGGCAGTGGTTCTCAACCTGGGGTCCCCAGATCTTTTTGGCCTGCAACTCCCAGAAATCCCAGCCAGTTTACCAGCTGTTAGGATTTCAGGGAGTTAAAGGCCAAAAACATCTGGGGG